CCACATCGAATGGAATGGATTCCCTAACTGACAAAATGAAGCCAATGATGGAATAGTCCCAGTTCAAAAATCTGTAACAAACACTGTGGAAAACACAGTGGAAAAATCTCTCCCCCTCCAGCAGCATCCTCATGACTCAGAAAAGGGGGAGAGTCCAATTTTGATTGCATTTGCAGCAGCAGGTAAATGAGTAATGCCCGCAATGGCAGAGTTTGTGCCATCTTTCAGCAGTGAAGATCATTCCAAAGTATTTTCTCTGTTCTGGGAAGGTTAGAAAGTGAAACAGTGCTTCATAAAAGGAGCTGTGTTGACACCTCTTTGTGTTTGGTGCTGTTGATGTGTTGTAGTATAAACCTTCAGATATTTTATCTCCCTTATTCACGTGTCTGACAGGCGAACAACCTGATTCCCTTGGGACAAAGCCTGTCCCAGAGGTAGGAAAAAGCAGGTTGTTGATTTTACTTGGTGAAATAAGGCCAGGTTCCTGTGAAATGGAGCTTGTGATCCCAATTCCTTGTGTGGGAACACAAGGAATTAATGAGCCAACACCTTCCTAAGCTGTGCTGGTAAATCCAGTGCAGGGTTGAGAACTCGGGGCTCTCCAGACTGGTCAACCATGGGTTTTGTATCCATCTTATCACCTCATTCCTGACTGAAGACTGAACACAGCAGAATGTGTCCTTTAGACAGTGAAACTGTGGGAGTAAATCAGAGTAGCGCTCGCCAAAGCCCAGCAGCTGCTGTCAGGCTGTGGGCAGGGCTTGGCTGTGCTGGGGCAGGATTTGGAAAACCACAGTGTGGGAAATTTCAAGAGTTTTTGTCCCAGATAATCACCTGTTATTTAAGTGAAATATTTCCATTGCATGTCATCCCTGCCTCTCCTCAGCTATGTAGGAGATGAAAGAGGAAGGGAATAATTTCCTTTCCACTTTCAGGATGAGTAAAGCCGCAATACTGGGTTTAAATGAAAGTATTGAGTTTAACTGGGCTAGGCTCAGGAGGGACTCTTTAACAGGATGAAAAATATTGGAATCAGGATCTCCATCTCCAGAGATCATCCATAACCCATGTTTTTTGGGATCAAGGCTGCTATCATTCAGTCTATCATAATGAAAGAGGATGGGCTTGATGCTGATGACAGAGTCACAGTTTTGTGATTCTATGTGATTATTTCCCTTTATTTATATTTTATATATTTAATAGTATGATGAGGTAACAAATATTTTTCTGTGAACCCTAAATGCTGACCCTTCAATCAATTCTATCTACGTCCAGTATTTATAACTACACTTTGCAACAGGACTCTGACATTTATTAAAGTGCTTACTAGGTTCTAGCATGGACTTCAGAGCACAAGTTATGTGCACACTAAGAAGAGAATTGGCTCCAAAATGTTGGTGTTTACCAGTTTCCTTAGGAAAGGACAATGTAGTAGGGAAAATGTCACAGTAATTCATCTTAAAAAGAAATTCCCTCTGTCAGAAACCTCTCAGGAGTTTCAAATTCAGTTAGGGGATATCAGAAAGCAATTAAAGTCTAATTTAAAATTCCCACCCACATTCCTTCTTCTCTTCCTGCCAAGTGATTATTGCTCCTGGTCCACGTATTGGCAAATCTTTCCAAAATGAGCCATAATTTGCCTTAAAACTTTCTGGTCAAAGTGGAACTTTCTTTTTGAAAAATGAGTTTGTAGTGACTCTGAAGGAAAAAAAATAAAAAGAAAGCCCAAATGCTCTGATTTCCCAAGGACATCCTTGGAGTTGAAATTTCACCCAGAAATTCTTCTTGGACAAGGACACTGGGGGTGGATTTTGAAGCCGAGGCACTTTCCAGGGGAGGTTCCTGGACACTGCAGTTTCCCTGGGTGGATCCCAGTGTGCTCTCCCTTTGTTTTCCACTTTCATTGATGGCTCCGCATCACTGCCTGGGTTAATAAAGAGAATAAAAGTGTGGCCGTGGCAGATTAAACAAATGAGCCATTAAAAGGGGATGGTTCCCTCCCTCTCTGTGTCCACAACGCCTCCAAGATGAAAAGCTTTCAGCGATGAGCTGGGACCGTGAGCACTGAGAGAGCCTGTGGCTGCTTCAGGGAGGAATCCTAAAGTCATTCACAGCAAACCACTAATGGCTTTCCATGGTCTTTCCTGACAGGTGTTGACGGAGGAAGGCTTTGGCCCCATCACCACGGAGATCCGGGAGGCTCCTGAATTTTATTACGCCGAGGAATATCACCAGCAGTACCTCAGCAAGAACCCCGGCGGGTACTGCGGCCTGGGAGGGACGGGGGTTTCCTGCCCCATGGGCGTCAGGAAATAGCCTCTGCTTGCTCCACCACCTCCTCTTCATCGCAGGGAAGAAAACACCAGGAACCCCGGTGGATGTTCGCGCAGCATCCATGGATAAAGATTTGGGAACCTGCTGGGGAGGCTTTCCATAATCATGAGTTTTCTGTTTGTTGACATCCAATGCCAAAGTAGAGGCAGGAATTGCTCCCATCACATCTTCTTGCTCTGTGCAGCTCCTGGCGTTTCCTTGTCATCTGGAAAGGTGGAAAGAGACCCAAACTTCTGAAGTTTGGCTCAAAATGCTGTTAAAAGGGTGAATTAGGAGGTGGTTGCACCCACAGCTGCTTTGCATTTCCAATGCCTTTGGGCTTTTTGATTTTCTTGGGTTAATTAATTTCCTGTGTTCTGAGAGCTTTGACTTCTGGAGATGTGGTTTGGTTCCTTACCTGTCACAATGCTGAGATTTGATGTCTTTGGGAATAATGAGTTGATCAGATCAGTGATTCTCCCACCACAACTCCATTTTCACAGCATTTAGTACCACCTGTAGTGCCTATTTTCTGAAATTATTGTAGCCAGAAAAACCAAAATTGCGACGTGATGCTTCTTTTTGACAGTTCCAAGAAATGAATAAACACAAAAATAAGTCTATTTTGTTTCCTGCTCTGCAATAAATGACAGAACAAGAAAAGAACAATGTTCTCTGTGATGTGTTCCAAGTAGATATCTGGGTAGATCTAAAAAAAATTTATCAAATATTATAAAATGCTGCAGTTTTCTAATTAAACACCAGGGCGTTTAAATCTGCATCATCAGTCATGACAGTACAGAGGAGTAGAATTATCCCTGTGATTAATTATTTGTACTTTAATAACTTGAGGAGCTCCCACCAAGAGCAGACTCATGGCAAACGTAACTTGGGGCTGTCTCCAGTGACTGTGCAGCCAAAATAGCAGGCCAGCCAGAAAGGGGGAAAAAAATCAATTTTGGATTTATTCAAGGGGTTCTCAGAGCTCAGACTCAAAGCTGCAGACAAAAGATGCAGGGATGCACAGTTTATCCCATATGGAAATGAGATCCTGTGGGTCCAGAGCTCAAGGAATGAGACAGTTTTGGGGGACAGATGGTGGAACTCAGAGACACAAATCCACAATCCACAGCACCTTCTTCTCCATGGCACTGCTCTCCATAGCTTGGTTTGATATTTCCTGCTCACCAGCTCAGCTTTAAAGCTCAAAAAGGCCCAAACCAGCTCCCTGAACATCTACTGTGCCTACACAGAAGAGCAGATCATGCTCAAAGCTTGGAGAGACTGAAAATGTGCCCCACAAAGTCAATGTTTGGGATTGTAAATCCAGTGCTGCAGCCCTGCCCGCTGTTTCCAAACATGGGAAGTAAGCGTGTGCCAGAAAAATCAGCTCCCCATCCTCCCTCATGCTCCTCAGCTGATGATGAGCTCATCCCAGTCTCAAAATCCAGAGGAAATCTGTCCTCTTGGCAGATTACACCTGGGTCAGGCTTACAGGAGCTGCCTCAGGCAGGACTACCCCATTAAAGCTCTTTATGGAGATGCCCCAAAATGTGCCCACAGCACACTTGGATTTTTTGTTTCTGTGGTAACTGATCCTGTCCCTAGCCTGTCCTGCCATGGAGTTTTTTCAGTGCTCACAGCCAAGTAAACCAGCCCTTGTGTCTCATTTCCTTGGCATAAAGTGACAGAGGAGCAGAGAGGGAAGTAAAGTCTTACCCTCATCCTATGCATTGTCAGCCTCTGTGAAATCCAGACTCCAGTGGGATCATTCCTGATGTGCTCCAAGGCAAAGCATTTCAGGTGTTGAATCATCTGGAGCTCATAAAATGTCTCCTGGTTCCCTTCCTTTCCTCTCCCTCCCCTCCCACTCTGTGCTGTAGTTATTGTTTTAAAAGATATCCTCAAGTCTGAGCCTGGCTGAGGTTTTTTTTTATGTCCTCTCCTGATGGAAATGATGTCTTGGTCTAAAAATCAGCATAATGGCTCCATTGATATTGCAATTAGCCCGCACCAAAATATTTTGGTGCCACAGATTATTTACTGACATCTTTGATTTGATTTTGATTTGAGAGTTTTGATTGGACATACTTTGAAAATTTTCCTTTGACTGAGCTGCTGCTTTCTCCTACAAACACAGAGTCCCAGAGTGATTTGGGGTGGAAGGGACCTTAAAGATGATCTAGTCCCACTCCCTGCCACAGGCAGGGACACCTTTCACTATCCTGGTTTTCTCCAAGCCCTGTCCAATCTGGCCTGGAATATTTCCAAGGATGGAGCAACTCTCCTGTTTAAGTACATTCAAGTCAATACCCCAGGCATGGTCTAACTGGAGAGAAAATTACCAGGAAATGAGAGAATTAAAATGATGATTTGCTTTGGAGATGAAGTTGAAACCTGATACAGGACCAGCTCCTGAGGTCTTCAAAGATGGTTCAAGATTCAGCAAGGGCTACAACACCCAGCTCATGAAATCCTCCATTGCCATGTCCTGTGAGGTTAGCCCGGGATACAGACAGGAATTTCACTTTGCCCTGTCCCTTTAGAGCTAGAGGAAACCTTTTGGAAATCTCTGAGCTTTCCCTCAGTGGCCCTTTTGCCTTGGGAAGGAACATCTGAGTTCTGCACCAAGGGGAAGGAGCGGGTGCTGTGATGTCACCTGGCTTTGTTGACATGGAATGCAGGCGATGTCCTGAGGCATCTGCAGAGGCATCACTGCTCTGAGAGCTGTGGGAGTGTTGGACCAGGATGGATTGAGATGCTGCTCCTTACCCTCTCCTGTTTAGCTTCCCTGACCAGCAGTGTCCAGGCAGGGTTTGTTTCTCAGCATTCTCAGCACAGAAGAGCTGCAGAATATTCACATGTGGGTAAGTGAAGCAGATCTCAGCTTATTCCTTCTGCTGAGGGAATAAAGCTGCGGCCTGTGCTGCAGCCTGATGCACCTTCCACTCCCTAAACAAGGATTTTATCCTGTCTGCCTATGGGACATGGATCCCTCCCACCCCAAATTCCTGGGCAGTGCTTGTCAGAGTTTAGGTTTGGGGAGGTGACAGGGATGTCACTTTTGGAAGGATCAAATAACAGATCCAGGGAGGGCATTCTCGCCCTTTACTCTGCTGAGAGTAAGCTCCCACCTGGAGCTCTGTGTCCAACTCTGGGGATCCCATGAGGGGATGTGGAGCTCCTGGAGGGAGTCCAGAGGAGGCCAAGGAGATGCTCCAAGGGCTGGAGCCCCTCTGCTCTGGAGCCAGGCTGGGAGAGCTGGGGATGTTCATCTGGAGAAGGATCCAGGGAGAGCTCAGAGCCCCTTCCAGAGCCTAAAGGGGCTCCAGGAGAGCTGGAGATGATCCTGGGACAAGGGATGGAGGGACAGGACACAGGGAATGGCTTCCCACTGCCAGAGGGATAGATGGGATATCAGGAAGGAATTCCTGGCTGTGAGGGTGGGGAGGCCCTGGCACAGGTTTCCCAGAGAAGCTGTGTCTGCCCCTGGATCCCTGGAACTGTCCAAGGCCAGGCTGGATGGGGCTTGGAACAGAAGTAGAAGATGGAGTTGGAGAAATTATTTTAAAATCCTTTCCAACTCCAACCATTCTGCAATTTTGTGTTTCTCTGATTCCATGGATATTTCTATTTCCATGCTCAGGGATGTCCTGCTGCTGTCCAGCACAGGCTGTGACACTGCTGAATGTATCCAAAATGTCCCTTTTTGTACCCAGGGTGTGGCCTCCGACCATCCTACGAGTCTTTCCAGAAGACTGGCAAGAGGATTGGCACAGGGACAGACGTCAAGCCTGGGGAATTCCCGTGGCTCGTGAGCATCCAGAGCCACGGGAAGCACATCTGTGGAGGCACCATCATCAGTGCACTGTGGATTTTAACTGCAGCCCACTGCTTTGCAGATGAGCTGTGAGTGCTCCAGGGGTGGGTGGGCAGCCCAGGCACAGGGGGGGAATGACATTCCTCCCCTGGGTGCAGGATGTGCATCTCCTCAGGGTTACATGCCACATTTGTGTGACTGAGCCCTGAAAACAGGGGTTGTCTCCTCTGGAAGAAACAGGCCCATTTTTGAAAGCAGAAATGTGCAGAAATCTGCATAAGCAGAAGAGGCAGAAGGGGAATACTTTGAGGGATGGCCTAAGCAGTCTTGGATAAATACCTCTAATGCTATTCTGATGGCCCCAAGCATTTCTTGTGCATCCACACCTTGTAAAAGGTGATGTATTCCATTCTAGCTCATTATATCCCCCAAATTACCTTTGCTTTCACACAGCAAACACCTTTACCTCATGGAGACTCTGAGTTTAAAACACCAGGTTCTGGATAAATCAACTTAATTCAGTGTCCAGGGGCAGAGTCCAGCCCTCTGTGAGTCCCCTCCAACATGTGGCAGGTCCAACAGCCGAGACTGCTCGGTGACAAATGTCCTGTGGCAGCACAGCCTGGAGCAGCTGGCTGGGGACAGCAGGGTCTGAGCAGCCGGCCCAGGGCACAGAGATCCAAAAGATCCAGACCATTCCATCTGCTTGGTAGTGACTGGGTTATTTATAACCTGGCTGCATTTACCTCTGCACCCCTCTGCCCTGGAAATCATCCTTTCCTAGGAGTGAGGGTAAATTCCTTGGATATTTATAGCTGAACTGCCTAAGCCACCATCATGCTCTGCTCTGGGGAGGAGGCACCAACCTTTATAACCCAAATCGTTCATGTTTACCATGCCCTGGTTTGTTTTTAAGGCCACCAGATCTGACAGTGGCAGTGGGGGGAGTTAACCTCAGCATCCCACTGGAGGAGCACAACCCGGACAGTCTGATCCTGCACGAGGAGTTCAACAGAACCAGCCTGCAAAATGACATTGCCCTGATCCTGCTGAGCAACCCCATCGAGTTCAGCACCAAGAAAATTCCCATCTGCCTGCCCTTTGTGTGTGACACAGGCACGTGGAAGCACTGCTGGGCTGCTGGCTGGGAGAGCACAAATGCAGGTGAGGTGCTGGGAGAAATGCATTTGCTGATGGAAGATGGATCACTTTTATCCATTTAAAGTGGCTGTCCTCTCCCTTGAGGGGTTTCCCAGACAAAGTTCCACTTCCCACATCCCTGGTTAATACATCCAGACCCTCCCAGCCTCTGCACATCCACCAGTTCCCTGTTCAGGGCAAGAACCAGTCCCCAACAGACCCCCAGAGCAAAACCTGGGCCCTATTTCCACACCACATCCAAACTTTGGACCTCTTTTTGGCACCCAGGTGAAGACAAGCTCCACCCTGGTGGGTAAATTAAGCACAGAATCATAGAATTATTAAGGCTGGAAGGGACCTTAAAGCTCATCTTATTCCAACCCCCTGCCAAGGGCAAGGGAACCTTCCACTATCCCAGGCTGCTCAGAGCCCTGTCCAGCCAGGTCTTGAACACTTGTCACCTTGTGGGACCTTTGTGGGTAACTTCAGCTTGGGATAGTCTATGAATCACCCAGTTAGGCTGGGTCTAATATGGTCTGGACTAAAGGAAATGAAGGTCTGGGTCTATCTTTGGCTTAATACCTTCATGAGCTAGATTGACTCATTGCTTCTGGCCACTTCTTCCTTCAACTCATTTAGGACTGCAGATTGCTGATGCTAATTGATCTCATTTAAGCCCTAATGAAAGCAGTTCCAGCACTGATTGTGACCCAAAATGTCTGTCCTGAACAAATGTCACTAATTAGCCAATGAGCTGTTTCATTATTGGAAAGAATTAATCAGGACTGGGAGGGCAGGGGGGAGCCTTGGAGCTTGAGTGGTCCTTCCCAGGATGCAGTAAGTGAATATCCCATCGAATCCTTGCTATCCTGCTCCAGTTGCTGGGGTTTTTTTCCATGAAAATCTGCATTTACCTTCTTTTAGGCTTCATTTTCCTCCCTCAACAGTAACACACGACACTCTCATAGTTGTGAAGCTCTCCCACTTCACCAAGGTAACGTGCTCCTAGAACAGAGGGGCTGCTGCATAATCCCTCTGCAGGATTTCCCTTGAGCTCCTCTGCAAAATCCATGGAGCAGCTCTGGGGATCGGCCTCGTGCTGCTGTATGGGTTCAGCTGACACAGATTCTACTTCCAAAAATTGGTGTCAGTGTGCTCAGCCCGGGCACCCCTCACCCTCTGCCTGGTAGAGGGTTCAGAAGAAATCCAGCAGCAGCTGAGTGTGGTGAGAGGGGAGTGTGAGGGTGTGAGATGGGCAAAGCCAAAAGGTATAGGATCAGGGAATGGTTTGGGTTCATCCCACCCCCTGCCATGGGCAGGGACACCTCCCACTATCCCAGGCTCATCCAAGTGTGGTTCAGTCTGGCCTTGGACGTTTCCAGGGATCCAGGGGCAGCCACAGCTTCTCTGGGAAACCTCTGCCATGGCCTCACCACCCTCACAGCCAAGAATTCCTTCCCAATATCCCATCCATCCCTGCCCTCTGGCAGTGGGAAGCCATTCCCTGTGTCCTGTCCCTCCATCCCTGCTCCCAACACCCTCTGTAGCTCTCCTGGAGCCGCTTCAGGCTCTGGAGGAGGCTCTAAAGTCTTCTCAGAGCTTTCTCTTCTCTAAATGAACTCCCCCAGCTTCTCTTCATAACAGGAGAGCTTCACCTTCCTGGAGATTCCTACACTCAAAGCATTTTCATCTTTGGGCGCTTCCATCTTAGCTGGAAAAGGGATGTGACAACTTTCCATCTTTTAGATCTTGTAATTGAATCACAGTTTCCTGAAGGTTCTAAGAGGATTTAGCACAGTGAAATATGAAAGAAGGAGTGAGTTTCAAACCATCTGAAGGTCTCAGTTTTATCCTTTGGACTCAGGTTCACTTTAGAGAGAAACGTGGGTGAAATAATTGGGGTTTCCAAGTAGCCCGGCACATTTTCAGTCTTTTTGTCACTTGCAGGTGGCAGCTGTGATTTCTGTATTCCCATTCCAAGGGAAGAATAAAGCAGATATTTCCTTTGTGTGCTGCCATCTCGAGAGCCAGCTCTGTGAAGACACAGCTGGTCCCCTGGGTGAGGCGTGTCCTTGAAGCCCGCCCTGGGGAGAACACCGTTTAGATTGGATATTAGGAAGAAAACTCTTCCTTGGAAGAGTTGTTGGGCCTTGGAACAGCTGCCCAGGGCAGTGGTGGAGTCCCCACCCCTGGAGGAATTTAAAACCCGTGTGGATGTGACCCTTGGGGACACGGGTCAGAGGTGGCCTTGGCAGTGCTGGGGGAATGGTTGGACTGAATGATCTCAAAGGTTGTTTCCAATGTAAATTATTTCATGATTTTCTAATTGTAAGATTAGAATTCTGGGGAAAGCTTGGTGGACTTTGATCTGCAGGGGCTTGCACAGGATCCCATGAAAAGCCCCTTAGACTGAGTTCCCAAAAAAACCATGAGTGAGAAACCCCAGGGGTGCAGGGCAGCTCATCTCAGGTCATCATGAGACCACCAGACCCTTTGAGGGTTTCCCAGTAGTCTGACATCCCTGGCAGTATCCAAGGCCAGGCTGGATGGGGCTTGGAGCAACCTGGGATAGTGGAAGGTGTCCCTGCCATGGCAGGGACATCACTGGATGATCTTTAAGGTCCCTTTCCACCCAAACCATTCTGGGATTCTGTGATAAACTCAGGAGCACAAACTCATCACTGCCAACACTTGGGCATCCCCTGTATGCCCCCATGACCCCAAACCCCTCCTGTTTTGCCCAGAGACACCATTGCTCTGAGATGCTTTAGAAATCCAGCTGAGATTCTTCCCGAGGGAGGTCTCCAGCTGCTCTGCAGCTTTGTTGATCCTTCTCTTTTCATTTGCTGCAGCATCCCGTGTGCTGCAGAAAGCAAGGATGAAGCTGATCAGCAGGGAGAAATGCCTGAAGCAGATCCCACACCTCGTGGAGGGCATGATGTGTGCTGAGACAGAGCAAGGAGAAGGAGAAGGAGGAGGAGGAAGCTGCCAGGTAAAGGAACCAGCATTCCTGGTCTGCTTCACGGCCAGATTACACCCCGAAAGGAGACAGGAATGGTTCTCCAGGAGCCTCAAGGCAAAAGAATTGGGAGGGAAGTTTAATCTGGGGGTGTTTAATTTAAATATTAGAAACATTTCCCAGGTGAGGCCTTGGCTCTGACCCAAATGTGCTTGGTTGGTCTGTGGGTGCCAGAATGAGTCACATCTTGTGGCAGTGTGTTGGTGACAGAGAATGAGGGACTTTTCAAGCTAAATTACAGTCTGAGCAGTATTTGATATCAGGGAGCTGACACAAACACACAAATGAGGCAAAACTCACTCACAACTTGTGCCCTCACAACACAGTCCACCCCCAGGATCACTGCCTGGTGTCAAATGAGATCTGGAAGCCAAAATTCACCTTGTCTTTCATAGCATCCAGCTTCCAACCCCTCTCCTGAGTGACTGACAAGGACTGGGCTCTCCTGCAATCTCTGATTCCAGACTGAGATTTCCTTCCTCCACCTGGAAATGGTTTTTCTAGGAATCACAGAGGGATTTGGGTAGGACAGGGCCTTAAATCTCACCCAGTTCCAACCCCCTGCCATGGACAGGGACATCTTCCACTATCCCAGGCTGCTCCAAGACCCATCCAGCTGTATTTTATACACCTCCATGGGTTTGGAGGGGTCTGGATGGGGACACACATGGATGGACAGCTCCATTCTGTAGGAATTACTCATTGGAGGAACTAAACCAGCACCCAGGACAGAGAGAGATCCTCTGACCTTTAGGCAAAGGCAGGGGGCACCAGGACCATGGGACGCTGAGGGAAAATTTGCAGAATGATTTTGTGATTAGCCAGAGAACATCTGCCTCTGAAACCATCCAAGGAGTGACTTTCACCTCCATTAAGTTAAATCAAAAAATCTTAAAAAGAAACCTGCTGCAGGATAACATTAACATGATTAAAGGATGCACTGCCCAGCCCAGCTTAGCCTGAAGTTCTGTGGGTGAATGATGCTGGTGAAGTAGCAGGAGCAGTTGTTCCCAGCAAAATGAATCTCCTGGACTCAGAAAGCTGATGAAGAAGCTATTTAGATCCACAATAATGTCAGAGTTGTCTGAGGAATGAAGTAGGATTGTGAGATTTCCAAGCAATGGAAGCACAGGTCCATTGCATGGGTGATAAAACTCAGAATTCAGTGTCTCTCTGATTTTAGTGGGATATTGGCCAGGCAGAAATGCTTTGTAAACTGGAATAAAGGGAACAGGACAAAACCAGAGCTGAGGATAGAAGTTGTACTTTTCAGGGATGAAACAAGTGACAGGACTTGCCACCAGATTTTGCTGATTTGCTGGAGGGGAAGCATTTTGCTGCTGGATGGTGTCCTGGATTTCTGAGAAATGCTGATTAGAGCTATGGGGGACACATTTTGGCCTCACCAGGCTATGTCAGCAACCTGGTGGCTTGTCCTGGTCATGGCCTGGGACAGGACAGGGCCGAACCTGATGCTTCTTCTGCAGCAGGGGCAACTGGGCAGAATCCCAGAATTATTTAAGCTGGAAAAGCCCTCCAAGAACACTGAGTCCATCTGGTGACCAATCCCCACCTTCTCCCCAGCCCAGAGCACTGAATGCTACATCCAGACCTTCCTTGGGCACCACCAGGGATAAGGACTCAAAACCTCCATTAGAAGGGCAGTCCCTTATAATGCCTGACCACCCTTGCAGGGAAGAATATTTTTTTCCAATATCCAATCTAAACATCCCCTGGCACTGTTTGAGGCCATTCCCTCCTCTCCTGGGAGCAGAGCCCGACCCTGCCCCTGGCTGTCCCCTCCTGTCAGGAGCTGTGCAGAGCCACAGGGTCCCCCTTGAGCCTTCTTTTCTCCAGGCTGAGCCTCTTTCCAGCTCCCTCAGCCCCTCCTGGTGCTCCAGCCCCTTCCCCAGCTTCATTCCCTTCCTTGGGCACTCTCCAGCCCCTCAATGTCCCCCTTGGAATGAGGGACAGAACCGGACAATCCATCTGCACTGTGGACAGTGCAGCCTCGCAAGCTATGATTGCCTGTGAGGATTGCAGGGTTTGTGTCAGAGGAGAGTGAGGCCAGATTTCAAAATGCCCAAATCCTTCACATCCTCATCTCTGTCGTGGAGACAGAGCAGCCCTGGGCATGGCATTGGTCTGTTCCATCCAGCTGTCTCTGGGGGACTTCCAGGCTCCAACTCTTGCTTGGATCAGGAGCCACCCATGAGTCCCTGTGGAGAGGCCAGGAAGGATTAGAAGCTCGGGCAAAGCAGAGATTCCTGATCAGGGAATAAACCCTGGAGATGCTGAGTTTGCTCCAGTAGCTGTAGGCCAAGGAAGTCTGGACACAGAGGAGATAAAAGCCTGATATTAAACCTTTCCTGGGATTTGCTGAGGATCAGGATCCATGTTTTCATATCCAGAGCCAGGCTAAGGCAGGAATGTTGCTGGACTCGAGGTTGTAAGTCCACATGATCCACATCTGGATCCAAATCGGTGAGCTGTGATGGAGGGAACAACTTTTCACATGGGGAGATAGTGACAGGACAAAGGAGAGTGGTTTTAAACCAGAAGGAGAGATATTTAGGTGGGATATTAGGAAGGAATTCTTCCTGTGAGGGTGGTGAGGCCCTGGCATGGTGAAGCTGTGGCTACCCCTGGAAGTGTCCAAGGCCAAGGTGGAGAGGGCTTGGAGCAACCTGGGATAGTGGAAGAAATTATTCCTGATTCAGGTCCAACCTGAACCTCGTCTTGGTGCAGCTTGAGGCCACCCCATGAATAGAAAAGCCAAGAATAAAAAAGCTCAGACATTCCACCAGCTGCCCTCATACCAGACCAGCCTAATTTGTGGGTAACTGACCATGTTCCTCTAATAACTCAAGGAGATTGAATAGCAGAGCTCCCGAGTATTTGTATTTTAAAAAAAATAATCCATTCCCTTAAAAAGAAAAATCTATTCTATCCCAATTCCCTGGCGGTTCTGCAGACAAATATATGGATTTGCTGGGAATTAACACTACCAGGAGCCGTAATTGACTTATAGTTCTATTTAGTCATAAACATTAACTTTAATGGATGTTCAGGGGGTACAAGTGCTAAAGAACAGACACTGGAGATGGCTATGTATTATTTTTCTGTGTGCTACATTTCTTCCATGACCCCATGAACCACAATTGATGTCTCATTCCTTGCTTTCTTAAGCATCTTTTGTTAGGCTCTGATGCAATGGTAACTTGAGCAATAATTAGAGTACAAGGGGCTCACAAAGCAAATGCCTCCTTCCGTGCCTTCCCTGCCCAGGCAAAATTCAGTAAATGGCCCAATTATAGTTCAGAGGGGCTGTGGGGGGAGCTCTGATGTGGTGATTAGGACAAAGTGTGTCCAGCTGGAGTCACAGGTCGCCTACAGTTCAGCAGCACATGAAGGGGGGCCAGACCCTGCTCTGATTCCAGGGGAAGGAGTCCTTGTGTGACCCCCAGGAGCAGTGGGGTGGCTCCAGCTCAGGTGAGTCCTGGGCTGCAGCAGGGGGGATTTTGGCCATAAAAAACACAGTGGTTAGGGTCTAAAGGGGCCTTAAAGCTCATCTGGTTCCAACCTTCCACCCATCTCAGGGTGCTCCAAGCCCCATCCAGCCTGGCCTTGGACACTTCCAGGGATCCAGAGGCAGCCACAGCTTCTCTGGGCAACCTGTGCCAGGGCCTCCCCACCCTCACAAGGAACAATTCCTTCCCAATATACCATCAAATCCTGCTTTCTTTTAGGTTAAAGCCATTCCTCCTTGTCCCATCTCTGAAAATGCCCTTTACAGCCTCTGGGATGCTCAAGGCTCTCACCCCACAAAGCTGGAGCAAAAGCAGCAGTTTTTTGTGCAAGCCTGAATGGGGTTTTCCAGCCATTTCACAAATGTCTGTTTTATAACCTTCAGCATCTATTTTATAACCTTCAGCATCTTCAGAACCATCTTTCTATCAAGAGGCATCAAAAATCCTCCCCTGGTGATGGGAGTCACTGAGATTGATTTAAGCATCTATGTTAAAATGACGTCAAGCCCTGTGTGTGTGTTTGTTGCTCCCCATAAATTGAAATCCAGCTGAAGGGGTTTAGCTCGTGGTGATGGACTTGGCTCCAAGGCTGAACAGTTGTTTACATTTAATTCCCTGTTAGATATCCCAGGATATCCCTTGGTATCCCACTGCTCCCACCTCAACCTATGCCCGAGTGACTGCAATGGAAGCCTGACACTTGGAAAAGCTCTGGCATCATTTCACAAGGTCTTACATCCTTCTGCTGGTCCAAACATGGCTCCAAAAGTGCCAAGAAAGACTCGTGAAATACCATTTTTTTGAAGGAAAGAAGTCTGCAAATGAAAACTGTATTTTTATAGGTAATTGTCATGGATTCAAGGAGAAGAGCACAAACCAGGATAGCCTGGTCAGTCCTTGAAGCTGCTCAAAACACCGGAATGGAGGTGGTTAAATTATGGTCTGCCTGCAGTCTGTAGGGATGGGAAGCATCCACAGGAGCTCTGAGGTCCTTCTGACTATCAGCTAAATGTTCCCTATGGCCAGGAGTCAAAACTATCCACATTTCAGTTCAAAGTTATTACAAACTCAAAGTTATTACAAAGTTATTGCAAACAAAAGCACAAAAGTACTTTATTATTTTATCTTACCTTAATAATAGAATCACAGAATCACCGAGGTTGGAAAGGGCCTCTGAGATCATTGAGCCCTACCATTCCCCCAGAACTGCCAAGGCCACCATGTCCCCAGGTGCCACATGCACCTTTTTTCTGAACATTTCCAGGGTTGGTGACTCCATCACTGCCCTGGGCAGACGTGCCAGGGCTGGACAACCCTTTCACTGAAGGCATTTTCCCTAATATTCAATGTAAACCTCCTGTGGTGCAATTTGAGGCTGTTTCCTCTTTTCTTGTTGAAGAGAATGATCCATTCCCCACCCTTGTCATGGATTTCCCATCACTG